TATTTTAGTTGAGATGCTACATTGCAGACGTCTGTAGTCTCATCCCATTGCCCAGTAACCTGTCCCTCCATCACACTCCCATAGCCCAGATTAGTTACCCATATTTTGCAAGAGTCCTGGGCACGTGATGGGATCTCTCTCTTAATGCATTTCATATAAGTGTGTGTAGAGAGAAGTCCCATCCGTGCCTCACATCACAAACATTATTGTTCTCGAAGCGGCATCTACGTGTTGGACCTGTGTCCCCACGTAAGCCTTAAAGGACCGGGCTTCGGCCCGTGAAATCCTAATGAGAATCAAATAATAATTTTTTATAATGTGTTTATGTTTTGTAATTTCATTTTATATGTATTTTACTTTTATATCCATATTGTAAAAAGCCTAATCTAAGATTAAAGATAAATAAAGAGGAATAATAATTATAAAATATCAATTGAGTTTTCATGAACGGGTACGAGTAGAGTGCGTGCAATAATGCCACTCTGTTCGCCGCAGGGGGGGGGGGGGGGGGGGGTGTTGGAAACCGACTTGTGCGAACTTCATAAACCGGCATAGATTTTGCACGCACTAGAAGTATCTACTTATCTTTTCCTGTTGTGCTGGTTTTAGTGGTTTTTGCTTTTTCACGGCGAAGGGCTGCCAACAAATAATCCATCTTTTTCTTCAATTCGCCAACTGAACACTCCATTTCGACGGAGAGTTCATCATTTTCTTTATGGGCCTCGATAAATTTAATAAAATTTTCATTGTTCCAATTCATTTTTCCACCGACCGAGCGTCGCGAGTGACGCGTCCAGACTGACCCACGTCCGTATCTGTATCACCTTTGATGATCGGACAAAAACCGACACGACATGGGACGGGCCGTATCATAACGGCGTATCGAGATCGCGTATCATTACCCGTCCACATATGCGATCATGATACGCGTCGACGATACGGATACGGTGATCGGATCGGGCAAATGATACATGTCTGGACCCGGCTTTGCAGGTTGTATAAAACTTTTTAAAGCCGAGTAACTTGAAACTTATTAAAGGTACTACTCCGTAACCGGGGGGTGCAGAGGCTGTTTAAATTTGTTATTTCTAGTTATTTCTCTCGCCGGTATTTACTTTAATTTTAACACTTTCACTGTCTGGTTTTCAGACACAATAGTAACACGATAGCAACAACCTACATGTAGTGCACGGGCCAGCAAAAAGGTTAAGTTGCCATAGTGAAATGTGCAGTGCACAAGCACTTAAAACAATTCACTTCAATTTATTTGATATAGACAACACTGATCCATTACAAAACTTAATTTTTTACATTATAGCTAAAATTTTAATTCTAATTATTGGTTAATTAATGATATTATTAAATATTATCATTTAGATATAAATAAATTTGACCACATACTAAAAATTTCCTTTCATCGGGAAGTAATATTTTGATAAGAAAACACAGATTTCGAATTTTAGTGTCAAAGGATATTGCTTTCACGAGACAATACAACATGTGCTCTCGTGCTCCCTGTTTCGGGCTTATCCCGAATTAGAGCTAGTGTTGTACCACGTGGTAGGAATATTTTGTAATAAGATGATTTCTTTCATAATAATATTATCATAGTATAAGAAATTAAGATCGTTTATATTACAAACCCATATAGTTCAATGTTTAAAATAAAACTTTTGAATAGCTTTGTTATATAGGTTACTGTTTGAAATGAGGGTAAAATAAATTAAAATTAAAAATTTTGTACAACCGACTTCAATATCTATTATTATGAATAACTCAAAAACTATTGGTCAGACCCTGATCAAATTTATATGGGACCACATGTGAAGCACCAGCTTTCAAATAAAAAAGAGAATCATCGAAATCAGTTCACCCAGTAAAAAGTTATCAGGTAGCACACATAAAAAAACATATAGTCAAATTGAGTACTGGCTCCTTTTTGAAGTTAGTAGTAAATAAAATGAAATAAGAACAAATTAAGGTGTAACGGTAATCTCCCACTTGTTGTATCGTGCAGGCGACTGGGAGGCATCAGTCGGTAATTTTACGAGTCTCACTGTCGTTACTTTGTCCGTTGGGATATTCTACTAGCGTAGGCAAGAAGATCCATTGCTGAGAGGCTGCCCTGTGTTACATTGAGATGGGTAGTGATGCTGTTGGTTTGCATACTTTGGTGTTATCATGTAATTGGATGGTAAGCAGGGTTTGTTCCCGAGTAATGTTCTTTTATCTACCAACTTCAAAAAAGTAGCTGGTACTTAATTCAACTGTATGTTTTTTTTATGTGTTACCTCATAATTTTTTTTCTGGGTGAACTGATTTCGATGATTCTTTTTTATTTGAAAGCTGGTGCTTCCCATGTGGTCCCATATAAATTTGATCAAGTTATTAATAATTTATATTCAAGTCGGTTGTACAACATTTTTAATTTTAAATTATTTAAATAATTTTGAGAATAATTTCTAAGATAAGATGTGGAATAATTTCTTACAGTACATAATAAAAATAAATATGGTTCAAATACTTTTCTAATTTCAGATTTCCGAAAAGCAGTGAATTGGCACATAAATGGGTGGTAGCAATAAAAAGGCCTAACTGCTAGGCCCAACATCAGGAGTTCCGTTCATTCCATCTATTTTAGAGTATCGTTTATTTTTGAAACCGAGGGTCGACTGAGCATGCTTACACTTATTTTTGAACTATTTTTTCAAAACTAATGGAAATCATTCAACATATATTGACATTATAATGAAATATCTAGTACCTAAGACTGCAAACAGAATGACAATTTTATGAAAGTTAACAGTTTTTAAGGGGCAATAAGTTAAATAGATTTTTGGGTTTGATCTATAAATATTGTTTTATAATTCATAGTCTTGTTTTATTGATGTGCTAAAATCTTAAAATTGTATGTACCCACCTCATATTTACTAAATCTTACCTTATTAAAATAATAAGTTATGTACATTAAAAAAACCTTGAAAAAAAGCTAAATGTCCAACATAATAAAGATAAATTGAGCCATCCCAATAGTAAGAATGTTTTGTTTAAAAAAAGCGTATTCTGCATGGGTCCTCGTCTGTATAACCGTTTACCTAAATATATGAGTCTTAAGAGCCTTCACATTTTTAAGGAACCACTAAACATATTTTTAACCAACAAAGCGTATTATAATATTGATGATTATTTGTTTGACAATTTTTAAATTTTAACTATCAAATTTATTGAATAAAACACTCAACTTTGTCTATGTTATTAATTTTGAGACGTAATAATTTACACTCGTTTTGACATTATTATTTGGACATTATAATTTTAATTATTACATTTATTTTATTATTATTTAGTCAATTATTAATATGTTAGTAGTGCAAATATACAAATAGGGTTATATTATGTTAATGTAATTATCAGAATTCCATTTTAATTATATAAAAAAATATCTTGTATTTAAGTAGTTTGCACACCGGAAGGTAGAATATGGCTGTATTTTTGTTAAATTATTAAGACCTATTGTAACCCGTATATCACAAATGAATAAAATGAATTTGAATTTGAACATTAACTCATAGGCACATATCTTGGCTCATCAATATTCAACCGCTGTAATTATATGTATATCAGCTATGATTTATTCTAGGGTACCTGTATCTAATACTTATAGAACAATAAGATAAGAACCTATAGAACCATTGGCATAATGGGCGATGAGCGATGTGCGTACGCGTGCTCTATAGCTTGCTTTATATACTCTAAATTTCACAAAAAGTAAATTTCACATTTTTAATTTCTTCAAAAATCTACCCATAAGGTCTTAAAATGCATAAAATTCATATATTTTCATATTATAAGTTTCCATATAATATGTTTGTATTATGCCATTTCATAGGAAGTGTAGGTCATGACTGCTTGGATGTGACAACTTGGATGCATGTAACACCACGGGGTAAAATCTAGTAAAATATGTCCAAGCAATTATTAATATTTTACCTTAAGATTCTTGCAGAACTAGAATCTTCTAAGCGCTGAAGGGAATTTGAACAGTGAATACTTGACCTCCCTTGCTTTGACTTAGACGCGTCTTCAATATCCAACAATGGCGCAGCTGAAACAATAGATGTAACCTTAATTCTATTAAAAAAAAAACTGAAATGTTGTGGCTACTGACAGATGGTATTTGACTGTGTGATAGGTACAAACAAGCACACAGTCCACATGATGGTAAGTGGATGCTGTAGTACAAAGACATCTACATCTCTGTTATTTTACACTGGTATCCTGTGAGTACAGTCCTTCCACAGCCAAGCTGACCCATTTGTGATACAACCATAATACAGCTGCAGCATGAGTCAACCATTTACTAGTGATATTAATCCAGACCGGTGACAGAGATTAGTATCAAAGGTCTATGTAAAAGGCGAAACTAACTGGCGATTATTACAAATTCTCCCTACATCAGGTGAGGGTGAGGCCCATATCCAATGAAATTACTTTTACAGACTAATGAAAAATTTAGAACTTTATTATAATAATCTGTACTATATCCGACACAACATAACTTTTTATTTATAATAGCCAATGCTTGACTACAATATCACCTGATGGTAAATGGTGATGATGTCCTTTGTACTGTCTTAGAAAAAACTTTTTGGCCTTATTGATTTGAGAGATTGCAAATGTTTTGTATAAACTTATGGGTAAGATACAACATGTTGGTGATTAGTGTTCTAAATAGATAAAATAAAAACAGTATTTTTGAAGCTTGCCATTACGGTTACAGCCTATTAAAGTCCACAACTGGGCTAGCATGGGCCGAAGACATTTTACCCCCAGGGACAAAATGTTTATCCCCTCGCTTAGATTTATTTAACCTTCTACTATATGTCTACTCATTATAACGGGTGTCTCAGAATGATTTTCATTTTTGAATTGACCAATACACACCAACCGCAGGTAGCAGGGGGAGGGGAGTGAACTCAAACGCTTGGCCGGCTTGAGTCATGAATCGTTTCACGAGATTACAGCGCGCGTTTTGCGTGAGAGCGTTTTATAAAAACAACGATTACTACACTGTTGTTCATCGTCTCTACAGGACACATTTTAATTTAAAAAGCTTAAGACATGTGCCAAGTGCCAATTTAATTAAGCATTGGGTGTGCAAGTTTGAAGAGGCTGGGAATACAATGCCGGACAAATCGTCTGGGCGTAAAAGGACATCAAGAACGAGCATGAACGTCGATCGCGTTCGAGAGTCTGTTATGGACGACCCACGACAGTCCTTGAGATTGCGCGCAGCTTCTCTTAATTTGAACAGTTCAAACGGTTCATCGCATTATTTAGAAAGATTTACATTTTCACCCCTATAAAATTGTTATTGTTCAAGAAATGAAGCCTGATGATCCTGATAAACGAGTCGAATTCTGCAGGACAATGAAAAACCGTTTTAGGAGTTTCAATAACATCTGGTTCTCCGACGAATCGAATTTTCACATCAACGGTTATGTGAATAGACAAAATTGCAGATACTGGGCTTCCAAAAATCCATCAGAACTGAATCAGAATCCCTTGCACTCGCCAAAAGTTGTTGTTTGGGCTGCCATATCAAATCAAGGAATTATCGGTCCTTATTTTTTGAGGATGACCAAGGTCGAACTCAGACCGTTAATTCTGACTGATGTTGCCATATGATCCAGACTTTTTTCGCTACAGAAATGCAAAACCAGAAGGGCTACAACCGCAACACCTTTTTCCAGCAAGATGGAGCCACTTCTCATGTTACAAATGACACATTAGCTGGTCTTCACCATTTATTCCCTGGAAGAGTGATAAGTCACTGAGGAGACATCAATTGGCCATCGAGGAGCCCTGATTTACCGCCTGCCCATTTCTTCCTATGGGGCTACCTAAAAAGCAAAGTTTACAATCCATTGCCACGAAACCTGAATGTTTTGAAGCAAAGAATCACTGAAGAAATCAACTCTATTCCAAGAGCGATGCTCCAGCAAGTTATTGAAAATTTTAGCTCCAGGTTAAATGAGTGTGAACAAATGAATGGTGTGCATTTGCAAACGGTTGCTTTTCATAAATGAACTTCAAGAATTGCTCTTTAAATTAACATTAAATAAAACGAGATTTAATTGATATTTTGTTTTTTATTTAACATATAAAAACGAAAAACATTCTGAGCCAGCCTTTATCAAATGGGGCTATATTTCTCCTTTCCCCCGTTGCAGTGCTTTGGTATAAAGTCAAGATAATTTAATCTCTTGTCAGTGGATATGATCAGGGGGTTCCTTTTTTTATACCCAGCCCATGATAGCCGTGCTGCTGAACATAGGCCTCCCCCATATACATATTGCCTAATAGGATCCCCTCTATTTGCCATTGTAGCCACGCTTGGGAAGTGGGTTGGCAACTGCAGTTTATCTTTTATTGTTATTAGGAAGAAACTGCTATCCATCTCCCTTGATTCCCTCTATCGTCTCTCATAACACCCACAGGATGATATTGGGTAGTCAATATTCTTACACCGCCACTACACGGCACTAGTATTTTTGAGGCTTAAACTTTAAAAATATTTAATATTAAAGTATGTTTCAAATTAATATCTTATTTTTAAAGGAATATTTATGCTGCTTTGTACTTGTACTAACAGCCTAAGCCTATAGTCATCATTCTTTAATAAAATGTAAAAGGTTATTAAACAATTTAATTATTATTTATTAATTTAATAGTAATCTATTTATAGTAGTTCAAGTACATTCATTATTATCATCATAACAGCCCCTCATAAGTCAACTGCAGAACGTAGGAATCCCTTAAATTCAAACAAACAAATGAACAAAGCACTGTTCTGAGCCACCACCGTCCATCGATTTCCTTCATATCCTATATCAAACCAATGTCATGCATGCCATCGCTGGCACACAACACAATATTTTGAGCATGCCATCGATCACAAAGTTCACTATGAAGTATTACATTAAAAACGAATGAATGCAAGTGATCCTACACTACTCAGTGTTCGGGCGCTGTGGTAATCAGGAAGTAAAAATTATTTTACGACACATCTATTAAACATTTCTTTAGAAAAATGGCATGTTGATATATAAGGGTTCACCACCCCAGTCCTATATCATATTCTTAGGGGCTGCCCTACACTACACTAAAAGGTATGAGGTTGCCACTAAAGGGACCTTTCTTCCCCATCAGTTATTGGTTCTTCAAGCTTTATGGTTGGCCCATTTTCACTTCTGCTTAATAAATCTGTTTGGCTATGTCGGTTACTTTGGTTACTGCAGATATCCTATATCTAAGTCTATCACAAAGAGAGACTCCGAGTATAGCCCCCTCTATAGCTCGCTGTGCGGCCTTGAGGTTCCTCATACGGCGAGCAGTGGAAACTACGTGAGTCGTGATCCATATTTATCATCACTAGCAACGTGGTTGTATTCAAGTTTTAAGGTATACCTAAAGAGGAGATAACGGCGGGGCAGGGGATGCTAAGACACTCAGATGGAAATACGGTTGTCACCTTACGATTCGGATTTTTTTATTAGTTGGACATACAAATAAAAGAGTCTTTGGTTCTTGAGTCATCTATTTGCCGCTTAACATATAAATCCGTTAACCTGCATTTGTTTGCGTTTAGAACGCCGCTTTATTTTGTAAACAATGCCATTTATAAAAACCATGTTTTAAATAAACGTTTCTTGAAGGGTGCACCTCAATTACAAGTAATATATACAAAAAATGAAGAAATTTGTAAAACCGTTGTACTCACCTTTTACTTGAAAACAGTGAAATTTAAATTTAAATAAAAAAAACCACAAGCAATGATGACCAATGACCACAATCTTAGAAATCAACAACAATATTTATATTTTTTAAAGATTTTGACTTGGATGCTTGTCTTTTAAACCATGTCGTCATTTCATTCGCGATCTTTTTATTGTTATCGCGGTTTTTATTGATTTTCAATTGGACGTGGTTATGCAAAAAGGATCCAATCCGAGTTTGTGTCAAAAATGTTGACTTGAAGAATAATGTTTGTGGTCTATACTATTATGTGATGTAACAATTTTAGCAAACGTAACACAAATAAGAAGAAAAATTATAAACAGATAGAAACCATTCCGATAATTTGAGTTTATGATATTTGAAGTATGGATACTTCAAATATCATAAACTGAAATTAACTCATCGCGGGTTGGATCCTTTTTGCATAACTACGTCCAATTGTGGATTTAATGTATTTGATAGGCAGAAAACATTTCAAGTCATACGTCGAGGGTCATTACTTGCGATGGCTTCACTTTTACTGTCACTGTCACGTGGATTCCAGATGTGGAGGATTATGCACCTTCCCTATTGGACTTTCTGCTGAACTCTTATCCGGGCAGATATCAGGTCTCTGTCTAAACTTCCGCTCAACATAATAACTGCTCGGGGCAAACTGAGCAACAAGACCAAGGCGACCCCTGCCACGCTATCCGTGACTTTCTGCAACATCAGGGGACTTCACTCGAACCCAAACGCCGTCCACTACCATCTCGAGACTGCGAAGGCTGCCTTGCTCTTTCTGACCGAGACACAGGTGTACTCTCCGGCTGATATTTCGTATCTCTCCTACCCGGGGTACAAATTGGAGCACTCCTTTGTGCCTCGGGCTGGAGTTTGCGTGTATGTCAGAGAGGACATCTGTTCTCGACGCCTCGGCAGTCTTGAAGGTTCCGACCTGTCCATCCTTTGGCTACGCGTAGACAGCGACGACCATCCACGTGTCTACGTGTGCCTCTATAGGTCCCATAGCGGTAATGCCGAAACAGACCGACTCATCGACCACGTCCAAATGGCTACAGATTCCTTGCTACAACAGGTCCCATCCGCAGAGATCGTGATCCTTGGCGATTTTAACGCCCACCACGCCAAATGGCTCGGTTCACGTTTAACTGATCATGCGGGGAGATCTGTTTATGACTTTGCCTTGGCATATGATTTGATACAACTGGTTACATCGCCTACGCGGATTCCAGATGTTGAGGATCATACACCTTCCCTGTTGGACCTTCTGCTGACCTCTCATCCGGACGGATATCAGGTTTCCGTCGATGCCCCTCTCGGCTCTTCGGACCATTGTCTGATCCGGAGTGTGGTGCCACTCTCGCCCCCCTCGCGGTTGCGTTCTGCAGGTTGCCGCTGTGTTTGGCATTACAGGTCAGCGGATTGGGACGGAATGCGGTCTTTCTTTGCTTCCTACCCATGGGGGTGGGTTTGCTTCTCGCCGGATGATCCCAGCGCTGTTGCTGACTCACTGATGTGGTGCTACAGGGAATGGAACTATTTATTCCATCATCTGTGGTACCCATCGGAGGCAGATCTCAGCCTTGGTTTGGTCGCTCCTGTAAGACTGCATTACGCAGTAAGCAGGAGTGTTATCAAGCCTGGGCTGCGGCATCGGTGACTCGGGATGTAAACACCAGCACACTTAAAAAGAAGAATAACTTCGCCTCCAGGTCCTTCAAAAGAGTTTTTGCCAAGGCAAAGTCAGCGCACATAGGCAGCATTGGCGAGAAACTAGTTCGCCTTCCTTCGGGAACCCGTGCATTCTGGTCTCTCGCTAAGGCTGTCCAAGAGAATTTCTGTAAGCCATCATTACCATCTCTGCACAGGGAGGACGACTCACTGCCCTACGACGCAAAAGAGAAAGCCGACCTTTTAGGCTCCCTTTTTGCGTCCAACTCGACCGTTGATGACGGGGGGAACACACCGCCGACCATCCCGCGGTGTGAGTGCTCCATGCCGAATGTGTGGTTCTCACAGCGCTCGGTTCGCAGAGCACTCCTCTCCCTGGACATCCACAAGTCGAGTGGGCCTGACGGAAACCCCCCAAAATAATGGAATCCGTTATAAACTGCCACCTCATGCGATACCTTGAGGATCACCAGCTGATTAGTGACCGCCAGTACGGTTTTCGTCAGGGTCGATCAGCTGGTGATCTTCGAGTCTACTTAACTCATAGATGGGCGGAGGCAGTAGAGTCCAAGGGGGAGGCATTGGCCGTTAGTTTGGACATTGCGAAGGCCTTCGATCGGGTTTGGCACAAAGCGCTTCTTTCGAAGCTCCCTTCCTATGGGCTTCCCGAGAAATTATGCAATTGGATCACCAGCTTTCTTGCAGATCGGAGCATCAAGGTCGTTGTAGACGGTGCATGCTCCGACTACAAGCCTATTAACGCTGGTGTTCAACAAGGCTGCGTGCTATCACCAACGCTGTTTCTTCTGCATATCAATGATATGTTGCAAGCCGGTAGCATTCATTGCTATGCGGATGACAGCACTGGTGATGCTCTATACACCGGCCGTGC